CAGGCGAACCTGATAAAACGCCCCCCTGGTCACGGCCGACAGATGGTCATCCAAGGTCAGCCGTGAATCCAGGAGGACTCCCAAGTTGCGCGCCCTCTCTGAGGGGGCCAAGGTTTCGCCCCCTATAGTCAGCGATGGCATCAGCTGACTATGCCGAGGCGCCGGAAACCACAGCCACTCGGTCTTGGAAGGGTTGAGCTGCTAGAGCAATCCTACATCTATTGTGTTTGTCTTGATTTTGTTTTGACAGCTACACATTAAATGTTACCATAACAGATGACCTTCGGGTTAGCATTAGGAGAATCCTGATGGTCAATATCATAAATGAGAACGATGAACTTCCTTACTTCACCACGTAAGTAGAAAAAATCCCAGTTGCACTAAAATTTTACTATTTAGGTCTGGGACTGAGATCAGATTTTTAAAAATTTAATCCGCTATAAATGGCTCCATTTTATTTCACGAATAAAAACTGGGGGTACTTGCTTACCTTTACATCTAGGAGTACCTGTGGGGAGGGGAAGGAAACATCCTCAGTGCATCTTAAGAGCAAACCCCGCTTCCTTCCTTCTAGCACTGATGATGTTACCTAGTTTGGTAATGAAACGTCTGCAAGAAAACAAGCAAGCTTAAAGAGCACCAAAGACCCCATATAATTAATTTTTGCTTTCACGTTGTAACTCTTCATTGTGTTAGTTATATTTTAAATATTGTAAGAGACAGCGGATCAAACATATCCAAGTGTCCTGTCTAATTTCTGTTATAGGAAAGAGAAAGTTTTCAAGATTCGTGAAGAAGCAGCACCGGGAACATTTGTTGCTAATATAACAGCTAAGGATCCCGATGGCGAAGATTTTATTCTTAGCCTTCACTATAGCATGGGGGTTCCTGAAGGGATCCCTAAATTTTACATCAACCCGAGTAAGGAATTAATCTGATTTGAATGGAATCCAGAAGAACGCTATAACTCACAGCTGAGCTTGGAATTACGGTCATATTTCATTGCGGTCATTAAGAGAGGCGTCCACGTGACTGCCTTGCTCAATGACGGCAATCCCAGCTCCACCGTTTGGGTTTTTAATCAGAACACGGGATGCTTCGGGGTGACACATGAAGTGGAGCCTGGGGTCCCATCCCAGCAGTTGCTAACGTGCTCTTAATAAATGCTTGGTGGGAATTATGATTTTGCTGCTTTCCTTCCCACATTTTATTTTGCAATAATATAAACGGGGACAGCCAGAGGGGCCAAAAAAGTCAAAATGGCAGCCACGACCTTGAGATCAAAGTCCTTCTCCTTTGCAAGATAGATGATGAAGGAATACAGCTTTGATCATCTTCACGATCTTGACTTTAATGATTCTAACCTGTGGCCAT